ATTCAGGGGAATATGAGGAAACCCTTTAGTGAAAACAGAAAATAATGAAGGAGACAATCACATGAAGGTTGAACAATTTCTCCACACATTAAGTTGTTTAAATTTTAATTTCACAATTCTTTTTCAAATACAGGCAAATCTATGTTTGTTGTTGTTTTGTTGTTAACTGCCTTTGAGACGATCTCAAAGCATGCAACCCTGTGGATAAGACATCACCAAAACTCTCTGTCTTCCACTGCTCTGCTTATGCTTAGTTTCTACAAAGTCAGGCTTAATAGAGTCCATCCATCTAGCATGCTACATTCCTCCCTTTCTACTTCCCTCCAGCTTTCCTAGCAACATTGGGTTTTTTCCCCAATGAGCTGTATCTTCTCATGAATTATCCGAACTACAACAGCCTCAGTTTGCTCATCCTGGATTCCAGGGAGAGTTCTGGCTTGATCTGTTCTAGGATCCATTTATTGTTGTTGTTGTTGTTTTGCTGTATGTAGAACCCTCAGCACTCTTCTCCAGCACCACATTTCAAATGCATTGATTTCTTCCTATCCACTTTCAAGGAAAAACAATAGTTTGTATGATTCTGACTTTTCTGTTCAGTTGTATATCTTTGCATTTTAGAATCTTTTCTAGTTCTTTCACAGCTGCTCTCCCCGTTCTTAATCTTCTTCTAATTTCCTAGCTGCAGTCCTTATTCCTATCAATATTTGATCCCAGGTATGAGAACTCTTTTACTATTTCTATTTCTTCATTGTCTAGGTTGAATATATACATTTTTCTTCTAAAAATAAAAACTACAGCCAAATTTCATTATGGACACATGGGAAGCATTCATCTTACTATTTCTAAGGTACTAATATTTCTTCTGAAGCATTATTTCTGAAGCATTACTCTGCCATTGGTTTCAGAATACAAGTAGAACTGCTTGTGTATGAAAAGCAACAGCCCCACAAAAGTTAATCTTAATGTTTGATATATTTCTTGTATAGATAGCATACTCAGTTTTTTCTATGTCCTGGACCTCTTCTCACAACCTTTATTTACCTATCATTAGCTTCCTTGCTACAACAATGGCCACTGGCTTCCATCTTATAATATACACAATATAATTGTGTAATATGATCAGGAATATAAGAAAAGCAAAATACTTGTAGGCAACTGTAATTTAGTTGATCTCTATAAACCAAATTCCCAAATTACATTATAATAATAATATAATTTATTTATATTTCCCGCCTCTCCCTACGGATCGAGGTGGGAGTACAAAGATAAAATTTACAAAATGTACAGTAGTACAATAAATAAAAAAACAACAAAAAGCCAACAACATAATAAAACCACAACAGTAATGAAAAAACAATAATAAAACAATAAACCCAACAGTAAAAACAATAAAATAACAGCAATAATTAATACAATAATAAAATTATAGTAGGAAACAAAAGTTCACAGTCTAAGCCACAAAGTTTCCACACAATCCATGGACTTATATAGCTGTACAAACACACACAGGGTTAGCATGCCAGAAATAATAATCAGCAAGACACTGTGATTTAGCTGTTGTGCCCATCTTGTCAAGTGTAGATTATATAACATTGAGTTTTTGTCTCTATTATCATGTGGCACTTTTTCCCCATGAAGAAATGAAGTCAGTTGTCTTCATCACTTTTACCATTATGTTAAGCACTGTTATTAAGGAGTTACTCTACTTACAAAAAAATAGGCATATGAAAATGCATGGGAAACATCCAAACAGTTGGCATACAGACCATTCTAGAGCTAAGTCTAGCCTCTGGACCCCACAAACACTATTCCTCAAGACCAGGGGTAGGCAACCTAAGGCCCAGGGGCCGGATGCGGCCCCCCAAGGCCTTTGGACTGGCCCCAGGCCGGTCCTGCCGCTGCCACCGCCACCCGCCATGATGATATTGATTATTGTTGTTATTACTTGTTCTTGGGGTTTTCTTGGCAAAATCTCCACAGGGGTTTTGCCATGGCTTTTCTGGGGCTGAGAGAGTGTGCATGCATATTTTTTAATTTTTTTATTTTTTTTTTAAAAATTATTTATTTATTTATTTATTTATGGTGCTTCGGGCCCCCAATTGTCTGAGGGGCAGCAACCCAGCCCCCAGCTCAAAAAGATTGCCTACCCCTTCTCAAGACAATCACAAGGGTCCAATTCTGGAAACCTTCAGTTAAATATATGCAGCTATACACATCACACAAAGATGGGTAGAGATATTACACTGATCTTAAGATCACTCCACTGGCTGTCCATTAGTTTCCAGGTGCAGTACAATGTGTTAGTTATCACCTTTAAAGCCCCAAATGGCTTGGATCCAACCTATCTTCGGGACCGTCTTCTTCCGTATAATCCAACCTGCACACTCAGGTTCTCTGGGAGGAATTTGTTGCAACCCATAACAACTAAATTGTCTGCAACTGCCCAGAGGACCTTTTCTGCAACCGCTCCCAGATTATGGAATGGCCTGCTGAATGAGGTTTGTCACATTGCCACCTTAAACAGCTTTAAAAAAGCTGTTAAGATGGATCTCTTCCGGCAGGCATTTCCTGAATAGATAACCAGCTACCAAATAGGTTGAACCTGTTATTCCCTGATTTCTGTGGCAGCCGTTGTTGATTTGTTATTATATTAAGGTATGTTTTAATCTGTATACTGTTTAATTGTATGGGGGGGGGTTATTGGGATACGGGATTTATCATGTAAGCCACCCCGGGTTGTGTTGTACAGAGAGGCGGGACATTAATAATAATAATAATAATAATAATAATAATAACAGGTCTGTCACTAACAGAAACTCACCTCTGTTTTCCTGTTGCAAGTCTCTAATCTGAGTGTTTTCCTGAGACAACAGAATGTGAGGTTTGTATTTAGACATATCCTTCAGCTCAGCTGCATCTTCTTGGTACTTGTAAAAAAAGAAATTGTCCATATGAACCCACAGAAAGTGAAGAACACCAACCCATCCACTGCCCAGCATATGAAAACTATTCATGCCAAAATGGGATCTGCACTCACCTTGTGTGAAAGAGCCGTGCCAGCTTCTTTCATAGCCACCACCCGCTTGTGCAACATAGTGGACTGGTCAATGAGAGACTCAGCTGCATTGTCATGGTCTTTCAGCCTTTCCAGCAGGATCTTTGCATCAGTCAGGATCTTCTCTATAGTACAGGCCATTATCAGACAACTGAAAGATTGGTGGAAGAGAGAATTAGGTCAAAACATCAAAGGCCCAATTGGGGAAAAGGATGTGAGACTTTGAAATATCTCCCAACATGGTATTGGCTTTTCAAAAGCTCCAGAGCCAAACCTTACGGAGAGAACATTACCTATAGGGGAGGACAGAGGGAGGCAACCACTAACCACAGAGAGTAGATGCAGGTTGTCATCCAAAGGCAACAGATGCTTCATTTGTTATCATTGTTTTTATTACTAGATATAGGGGAGGGATGCCCTTATGCCAAAATAACCTGGTTGTTGTTGTTAACTGTTCTCAAGTGGACCTTGGTCCAAAACACACTGCAGAAATAATGCAGCCTGAGACTGCTTTAACTGCCCTGGCTCAATGCTGTGCAATTTTGGGAACTGTAGTTTTGTGAATCATTTAACCTTCTCTGTCATAGAGCTCTGGTGCCACAATAAACTACAGTTCCCAGAATTCCCTAGCACTGAGCCAGGGTAGTTAAAGTGGTCTCAAACTGGATTATTCTGCAGTGTATTTTGGACCCTTGTTTCATGGCGACCCTGTGAGTGAGATCCATCCAAGACCCGCTGTCTTCCATGGCTCTGCTCAGGTTCTGCAAGCTCCAACCTGTGGCCTTTCTAATTGAGTCTATCCATCTGGCATGCAGTCCCTCTCTTTCTTTCCACTGCCTTTTGCCTTTCCTAGCATTATTGTCTTTTCCAGTGAGTCATGCCTTCTCATGTTAAGTACCAGAACCTCAGTTTTGTCACCTTGGCTTCCAGGAACAGTTCAGCCTTGATCTCTCCTAGCAGCCACTTGTTTGTCTTTTTGGCCATCCATGGTATCCTCAGCACTCTTCTCCAGCATCACATTTCAAATAAACTGATTTTCTTTTTATCCACTTTCTTTCCTGTCCAAATTTCACATCCACACATGAGGATGGGGAATACAATGGCTTGGAATGGATGATTCTAACTTTAGTGCTCAGTTGTATGTCTTTTATACTTTAGGAATTTTCCTACTTCTTTCATAGCTGCCCTTCCCATTCCTAACCTTCTCATTTCTTGACTGCAGTTCCCATTCTGATCAATGTCTGATCCAATATTTAACTATTTCAATTTTCTCATTATCTAGGCTGAATTTATGTAGATCCTCTATGATAATTATTTTTTATTTTCTTTAGGTTCAGCTGCAAACCTGCCTTTGCAATTTCTTCCTTGACCCTGATCTTGTCCAGTTCTTTTAAAAAATATTTTATTAAATAAGTCTTGTCCAGTTCTTTCAGAGTTGTCCTCCCCATTCCTAGTCTTATTCTCATTTCTTGATAGCAGTCACCATTCTCATCAATATCTGATCGGTATTTTGAGGTATCAAGAGACAGCGTGACATGGTGGTTTGAGCGCTGGACTATAACTTTGGGAGATCAGGGTTCAAATCCTAGTTCAGCCATGTAAACCCACTGGGTGACCTTGGGCAACTCACATTCTCTCAGCCTCAGAGGAAGGCAATGGCAAACCCCCTCTGAAGAAATCTTGCCAAGAAAGCCTGGTTGCCATAAGTCGACACGCAGACATACACACACACGTTCCTATATTTTGGAACAGTTACGTTGATGAAATAATCAGGAGGAAGAAGAGCCCACTCCTCCCGCTCTTTAAAAGCTGGAAAAATACAGTACAGGCTGCACTTGCGTGACTTTTACAATGAATGTGAATTCATTGAATTCAGAATAACATACTTCTAAATGAAGTATGCATGGTATTGCATGCTTTTTAGGGGGGAAAAAATCTCAGAAATACATAAGTGTAGTGGTCTGAGTGTCAGACTAGGACTCTGGAGACCTGGGTTCAAATCCTAGCTCGGGCAAGGGAACTCCAAGGTGACCTTGGAGAAGTCACACTCTCTCAGCCTCAGAAGAAAGCAATGGCAAACCTCTTCTAAACAAATCTGGCCAAGAAAACACCAGGATAGAAGTCACAGTCTCTCAGCCTCAGAGGAAAACAATGGCAAGCCTCTTCTGTAACAAATCTTGCCAAGAGAAGCTTAGGATAGAAGTCACAGTCTCTCAGCCTCAGGGTAAGGTAATGGCAAACCTCTTCTAAACAAATCTGGCCAAGAAAACCTTAGGATAGAAGTCACACTGTCTCAACCTCAAGGGAAGGCAATGGAAAACCTCTTCTAAACAAATCTGGCCAGGAAAATAGGTTCTCCTTAGGATCTCCATAAGTCTCATTGTGACTCAGGCAGCAAAATGACTTGTTTCGGCGCTGCCACAATGCAAACCAGCTCCAGTCCGCTTCGGGCACCCCTTCCCCACCTCGCCCTGGAGGGAACCGGGGTCTACTAAGCCCGGAGGAGGAGGAGGAGGAGGAGGCAGGAGGCTAAGCCCAAAGGACGCTCCCTCCACCCGCCATGGCTCCCCGAAGGCCACCCTCTCACCTCCGCAGCCTCCACTCCGGCCGCCTTTCCTCCCCAAAGGTCCCCGCTGGGAAGATGCACTCGGGTTGAAAGCTCGCTAGGGGGCGCAGGAGGCGCAGGCGACCAATTCGGGCCCCCGCCGGCCCCCGTAGCTTCCGGTTTGGAGTGTTGGTTTTTTTTTTTTGCCCCTCCTCTTCTGAGTCAAAGGGGAGGCAGTCCTCGTGGGTTTTCATATAAACTTCCGGGTCCTGTTGGTAGTGCGGGGCAAAAGAGAGAGATAGAAAAAAAGAAAAGAAAAAAGGCCTCATACATTATTTTTACAGTGTGGATGGGCCCCTCCGCCCGCTGGTATCCGTGCTCCAAAACACACTGCAGAAATAATCCAGTCAGGGACTGCTTTAGCTGCCCTGGCTCAGTGCTAGGGAATCCTGGGAATTGTAGTTTGTTGTGGCACCGGAGCTCTCTCTGACAGAGAAGGCTCAATGTCTCACAAAACTATAGTTCCCAGAATTTCCTAGCATTGAGCCAGGGCAGTTAAAGCCGTCTCAGACTGGATTATTTCTGCAGTGTGCTTTGGACCCGTCTGTCTTTTTTTGAGGTTGCATCTGCACTGCAGAAATAATCCAGTTTGACACCACTTTAACTGCCATGGCTCCATGCTATGGGATTCTGGGAATTGTAGTTTATTGTGGTTACCAGAGCTCTCTGTCAGGGAAGGCCAAATGTCCTACAAAACTACAGTTCCCAGAATTCTATAGGATTAAAGGGTGTCCAAGTGGGTTAGTTCTGCAAGTGCGGACAGCTCAGAAAAAGCGTGATACCGGCGGATGGAGGGATACCTCTAGAGTGTACAAATAATGCTATATTATTATACTGTATTAACATAATGGGCATATATTGTTCTCACTGCTATAATAATGCATTGCAGTATCTTTTCATATTTCCTTTCAGTTGGATCAGTCAATATCCCAAGCAGGAAAGTCTCTAGTTTCATATCTGTCTTAACATTAAAAATGTCCTCTAGCATTGTTGTTTACTTTCTAAATTTTGAGGAAGTACTTTTTTCTAGGGAAAGGAAGAGCAGGATTCATATGATGAAAACAATGAATCAGCCACATGCCTTTTAAAAGAAGAAATAAAAATGGTATCTGACAGAGTAACCCATTTATTCAAAAGTAAGCTGCTAAGGAAGATCAAACATGAAAGTGCAAAGGCAAGCTTAATGCTGAACATAAAGAAAACAAAAATAATGACCACTGAGAACCTTCGCAAGTTCAACCTAGACAATGAAGAAATAGAAATAGTAAAAGAATTCCCAAACCTGGGATCAAACATTATTAGAAATGGGGACTGCAGTCAGGAAATCAGAAGAAGATTAAGGACGTTATCACACGTGGACCAGAAAGCGATAATAAAGTGGAAAT